CAGCATGAAGAGCCCGGCCGTGGTGGGTGTGCTGTGCACCGACTCGCAGGGGCTCAACCTGGGCTGTGAGTGAGCGAGCAGGGCTCGGGAGAGGGCACCGGGGGCTGGCGGGGCTCTGTGTGGGCTCCCGGGGGTGGGGGGCACCGGGCGCTGCCCCAGGGAGGAGTCGCGGGTCCGGGTCCTGCCCATGCCCTCTAAAGGGTCCCGGGGAGGGGACACCAAGCCCTGCCCGATCCCTTTGAGGCCTCCCGGGGCTGGGGGCACCAGGGTTATTAATGGTGGGGGGCTCTGGATCAAGAGACACCAAGCCCTGCCGGTCCTTTAAAGGCTCCCAGGGGTGGGGGTGCCCCAGGTCCTGCCCATTCCCTTTTAAGGGTTCCCCGGGATGGGTGGCAGCAGGTTCGGGGACACTAAGCCCTGCCCGGGCCCTGCCCATCTCAAGGGCTCCCGAGGGTGGGGGACCCCGGGCTGAGGGGCACTGGGCCCCCTCTGTCTCCTCTAAAGGCTCGGGCCGGCCATACCAGACCCCTCCCCGTTTGGGGGTACCCAGCCTTGTTCTCTATAAACGCCACTCTGAGGACACCCGGCCCTGCCCTGCTGGCCTGCCCCCACCTTTGGGTGTCCCCAGGCGCCACCACCTGCCTGTGCCTCRGAGGAAACTGCAGCCAGCTCTTCCTGACACTTAAATTCAGGATTTTTGGTGGTTTGGGAGCAGCAATTTGGGGCGATGCTGCATCAGTTCCCAGGGAGTGGAGCGGGCTGGGGCAGGATCAGCCCCCCTTGGCCTGGGGGAGGCAGAGGGGTCTCTCACGGGGCTTTCTCCATTGTGTCCCACCTCTGCAGGCAGAGGAACCCTGTCAGACGAGCACGCTGGCATCATCTCGGTGCTGGCCCAGCAGGCAGCCAAGCTCACCTCCGACCCCACTGACACGCCCGTGGTGTGCCTGGAGTCAGACAACGGGTGAGTTCCCAGCCTGGAGGTGCCTCTTTCTCCCCTTTTTGCCTTTTCCCCAGCCCTGGGAGCCTCCTGCAGTCAGATCCCTGGAGCAGCTCCTCACCTGGAGCTGAAGAGGCAGCTGAGGAGGCAGCCCCAGCTCGGAAGCTGTGGGGGGAGGGAGGTGCTGCCATGGGCAGATTCCTCGGATTAACGGGGTTTTGAGAGGCAGGAAGTGTAAAAGCAGTGGGGAAACCTTTTGGGGGGTGATGGTTTATCGGTGCTGACCTCACACGCTGACAGATACAGGGGAAAGGTGTCAAAACCCTTTGTTATCCCCCAGTGCCTCTCCACAAAACAACACGAAAAGATCAAAATCTTCCACGGCTCCTCCACAAATGCTTGAACTGGCACCTGAATATCTCCTCTTAGAGCAGCTACTTCTTCTTCGTCCCAGCAGGAGATCACTAAGCTCTCACAAATGCTTCTGAGCTGATATCTGAACATCTTTTGCAGCAGCTGAGCTCTTTTACCTTTTCCTGATCAGCTTCCTGCAGTGGTTACTGCAGCTCAGGGGCTCTTCCCCTTGGGGATCCCTGTGGGTGACAGAACCTGAGGGAGTCAGGGAGGCAGCAGGGACAGCTCCATCACTGCCCGTGCAGTGGGGAGATGTGTCACTGGTGGGGCAGCCACGACACACGGGCACATCAGTACCTCACAACGGGCCAAAGACATTTATTCCACAAATCAGTCTCATTTATACACTTCTATGTTTTATAACTCCTCACATATTCATTGTAACTAAACTAAACTGAACTAGTTACAGAAACATTGTAACTAGTAGCCACATTCATTGGCTACTAAACT